ATGCATCTTGTAGATTAAGATGTTAGATATAGAGACTATAGAGAGTTTACCCAGGCCACCGCCTTTAAACACCGTGTGCTATAATCCAACTAGTCCATGTGGTCGAAAGCCTGTGACCTGCAATGTCCTAAATTCATTAATGGCCTGGAGAAAAGTGTAAATGTTAGCCAATCCCCTTCAGACAGTCAGAACACATGAACAACATTTCAGACATTCACAGAGAACAAGTTACGGGGCTCTTGTGGTACAGTGTTAGCGTCTCTATCTCTGATTCGGGAAGCCTGGGTTCAAGTCCCACCTCCTCCAGAGCCATGTAATAACATCTTTGAGCAGATTGATTGAAAATATTAGAACAAATAATGCAAGTGGGCTTTTGCAATTCATAGCTGATCTTTGCTTTTAAATTGGTTGCTGTCTTCAGAACTTGCTTTGTAGCTACTTGCAATTATTTGCTCTCTTTCCATTCCAGGAGAAATTAAGTTCATATAAAATTCTTAAAATTGTAGCAACTCTGCTACCTGTGCTTCATGGAATAGACCCACAGCATTGGTAAGCAAAGGCTCAGATACTGGACTATTCAGAGGAATGTTACACTACCCTGTGTGTGATGCAACTATGCTCAATTTACTATTCACTGGTTCTTTCCCTCTGTTGCTTTGGCTGGAATGCTGCAATTTCTCCACAGTAATACAAAAAAGGTGACAACAGGAACTCTTTATGAGCAACCATCCCCAATAGCCCAGCTTTTTGCATATGATAATGAGGATGTCACAGGAGTAGAACATTTAACCCCTCAAGGCTGTTCCATCATTCACTAAGATCCTATTTACCTGTTTCTGGCCCACATCTTTTAAGATCCTTAGTTAACAAAAATCCATCAATCTCAGCCTTAAAAACATCTGATCTCACAGTAATTGCCTTTTCTAGAACATGCTCCAAACTGCTACAACCCCTTTTCCTAAATATATTTATCAAAAGTCTGGGTCTAATTTTCACCAGCAGAGATGGTTCCTCACTATCTACTCTATCAGTTCTCTTTAATACACTGAAAACTTCAATTAGGTAATTTCTTGATCTTCTAAATTCCAGGGAATGCAACACTGTTTTGTGTAACTTCTTCTCATAATTTAACCATTAGAGACTAGGGGCAGGATTTTCACCCTGACGTGGGGTCAGCAATAGAGTCAGAGAGTCATTCCAACTCGTCCATGGCGACGAGGTATCCTAAACCGAACTAGTCTCATTAACCTCTGTTTCGCCCATATCCCTCTAAACTTTTCCTATTCATGTACCAATCCAAACATCTTTTAAATGCTGTAATTGTATCTGCCTCTACCAGTTCCTCTGGCAGCTCATTACATACACATACCACTCTCTGCGTGAAAAATTTTCCCTCAGGTCCCTTCTAAATCTTTTTCCTCTCATGTTAAACTTATGCCTTCTAGATTTGGACTCCCCTTTCTTTGGCTAGTCATCTTATCCATGCCCCACATGATTTTATAAACCTCTATAAGGCTACCCCTCATTCTCCAACTCTCCAGAGAAAGAAGTCCCAGCCTATCCAGCCTCTCCATGTAACTCACACCCTCCAGTCCTGGCAACATCCTTGTTAATTTTTTTCTACACCCTTTCCATTTTAACAACATCATTCCTATAACAGACTGACCTGCATTGTACACAATATCCTAAAAGTGGCCTAACCAATGTACTGTACAACCATATTGGTGCCCCAACTCCTGCACTTAGCACTGACTGATGAAGGCAAGTCTGCCAAATGCCTTCTTCACCATCCTGTCCACCTGCGATGTCACCTTCAAGGAATTATGTACCTGCACCCCTAGGTCTCTCTGTTCACGACACTTTAAAAAGGACCTGTGTACTTGAAAGTGCACTACCCCAACAATTCTTTTTGCACTGCCAATGTCTCTAGCATTTCACCGTTAAGAAAGTGTCCTGTTCTATCTTTATTTTTAGGTCCAAACCTCTTATCATTCTGTATTATACCAAAATTTCCATTTATTTTTCCATTCACTTTAGCAATTCCTCTGTAGCCATGCTGATATTTAAATGAGATGCTCTTTTATTATAGTCAATGGTCTTCCTAGTTGAGTGATACAAACTCCATTTCAATTTTTAAAGGACATGCTTTGATTGGAAGCCCAGGCTTATTTTTCAATAAAAGTCCTTTTTGTCTCATTTGTTCATGTTTTAAAATACAAAATAGTAATCAACAGAAGAGAAAGAATTCTGTTAAATCTAGTTTTCCTAAGCAATAATAAAAGGGAAAAGAGTCATCTGGATGGAGGAAAATTCTTTTGACCTCTTAGTAATGTTAGGGTGAACTGAGTTCTGAAGAAGGGTCACCGGACCTGAAACGTTAACTCTGATTTTTTCTTCATAGATGTTGCCAGATCTGCTGAGCTTTTCCAATAACTTCTGCTTTAGTTAGGGTGAACGGAGTTATTGATAGAAATTAAAGTTTAGCTGAAAGATCAATTGTCACTTAATTTTTTCTTTGGTGAAACTTATCCTAGCCTGAAGCCTCAAAGTACATTTTGAGTCTTCTCAACTGGTTCAATCGTTCAGTTATCAATATCATAAACAAAAGGTTAAATGGTTAATTCATATGCTTGTACTGAAAATGTCAATGCTGTTCTAAAAATCTGGATTTTTCTTTGTCCTACACTAACTCATCTGCATTTGATGTCACAACAGAGTAATGTGATTTATTCCAATCAATTTTATTAATACTGAAAGAACACCACAGAGGCCAATATCCTGTCATCAAGTCACCCCTTACTATATTGTACTGGACACAGATCCGGCTTCCTCAGAGCCAGCTCTCAGAGTGAACAGAAGCTCTGACAGTCCTGTTTATATTTGACAGCCAGGGCTCCCTGATTGGACCAGGTCAGCAGCCCCAATCAGGGAACTCATTCTATGAGGTACACCTGGCTGGTCTCATTACAATCACTACAAACATGTATCTGTCAGTTATAGCATTTTACGATGGTCAACTGAAGGTTATTTGCCAAAAAAATAGTGATGGTATAATGGTTATTCTGGAAATGTAACCTATTACATGAAAAATACTAACAACTGAAACTGGTATTGTCAACAAAAAAAAACTAATACTAAATTTAAAAAAACTCCATTCAAACTTAACATTTTATTTGAAAAACTATAAGACATCAGGTTGGCATTTCAAGGTTGCTATATAATCATGGTTAAGACAACAACCCAACATTTCAAACACAAAAGCAAAAACAGAAATTGCTGGCAAAACTCAGCAGTTCTGGCAGCATCTGTAGAGAGATAATCAGAGATAATGTTTTGGCTCCAGTGACCCTTTCTCAGAGATGTTCTGAGGAAGGGTCACTGGACCTGAAGTGTTAAGTCTGATTTCCCTCCATAGATGCTGCCAGATCAGATGAGTTTTGCCAGCAATTTCTGTTTTTGTTTCTGATTTCCAGCATCTGCAGTTCTTTTGCTTTTTTTTTGTTTAGTGTCCCCCAAAATTTCAATATTTGCAATTTCGTGCTTGTGTTTCTATAATGCATAGGGTGGTACAACATAGCCTTGGTGAGGAATACAATCAACATGGCTATATGATACTTGAGAATATTTTCAGAGCCTTCTACTTTTACATCGCAATGTAATTTGTAGCACAATTTTTGCTGTAACTTCCACATTTTAATTGTCTTATTCTGTTAATTCTAAACTTCCACAAACACTACAGTAATAACATTTTTTTGAAATGAGCTAACACCTGTTTAAATTCAGCACACACTGGAACATAGTATGGCTGTATTAAGTGCTTATAACAAGCACATAAGTGAAATATTTATCCAGATGTATGCGGATAATCCTCCAAAAGGGTTATAATACCTGAAAGTAGCAGCAATAAACAGATGTTCCATCAAAAGGATGACTGGCATTCTGCTTCTGATTGTTTTAAAGAGAAACTGAAACAGATCATTGGACCCATTAACTGTGTTTTTCTTCCTATACCACCTCACCTAATCTGTGGAAGACTTGTTCCTTGAAATATTAACCTGTCTTTTCCTTTGTCAGACGTTAATAGTGCTCCAAAACATATCTTGTATTTATTTTCGTTAATTCAAATATTGAAAATTTGCAACATGTTACACCTCAAAACCGGTAAACTGAAGAAAAGCAAACGCAAATTTCATCTGATACGACCTTAAATTATGCGGCTATGCTTAAAAAGGTATTACATAGCTTATATTCTTTTAAAAACTCTTTCTTGATAAATAAACTGGATACCGGTTTCGGGATGGCATGGTGGCTCAGTAGTTAGCACTGCTACTTCACTGCACCAGGGACCCAGGTTCAGTTCCAGCCTTGGGCAACTGTCTATATGGAGTTTGCACATTCTCCCCCTGTCTGCATGGATTTCCTCCCACAGTTCATGGATGTGTAAGTGAAGTGGACTGCCCATACTACATTATCCATAGTGTCCAGGAATGTGCAGGCTAGGCAGATTAGCTATAGGAAATGCATGGTTACAGAGATGGTGTAGGTCTGGGTGGGATGCTTTTCACAGGGTCATGTGTAAACTCAATGGGCCAAATGGTCTGCTTCCACACTGTAGGAATTCTATGATTCTATGACCAGATCAAAGCCACATTAACAACTTACAGCATTAATTGTATTATGGTACATGGTACTACTGGAAAAAAAATTGTTTCTCTCAACTCACAACAAAACAATAAAATTATATATTTGTTGGTATATAATTGAATTTTGGATATTGCATACTGTTCAGCAAAATTAATACCACTGGAACTCTGCGTTGGAATCATTGACAAAATACAATCACAACCCTGAGTGCAACAAAAACTGTTGCACCATAGATGTGAAGGCATCAACCAGGATGTATGAGGATGAATGGAAGGTACCTTGAAGTGTACATATTGTAAATTTTTATTTGCTGAAAGAATATAATCAAATACTTGGGAGAAAATAAAAAGACTTACCCTTTTTCTAAGATTATATGTTAGGATAAGGTTTCTTGAAAAGGAGTTTGCAAAGGCTGTATAAAATTCCAGTACTTTCTGCAAGGCATCTCTTTTGATAACGTGAAGGTCACAATAAGTCAGGGCTCTGACATTGACGCATGACTGAGCAAGGGTATTTTCCTTCCAGAAAACATCTCCAAAGACATCTCCCTTCCCTGGGCAAGATTAAAAAAAAACAAATGAGTTACAGAGTTGTGACATTTTTACATTATGAGAAATGTTTGTTCATTTATTTTCAACACTGATATTCTACAACAGATACTTTGCCAAAGATCATGTCAAATGCTAACATGATCATATGACGAGACTACACAGTGTGGTGCTGGAGGAACACAGCAGGCCAGGCAGCGTCAGAGGAGCAGGAAAGTTAACGTTCCTCTGATGCAGCCTGGCCTGCTGTGCTCCTCCAGCCCCACACTGTGTTTTCTGACTCCAGCATCTGCAGTTCTTGCTTTCTCTGAATGATCGTATAAAATTCTGTTTTTCGTCATTTTAGAAGAACCATTTATTTTATGTCAAATTACTTCAGTTAAGATAAAATACATTGGAATACCACACATTGCACAACTTCAACATCAATTATTTTGAAACTAAGCAGGTAGTCATATTGTGTTAAATGTATTCCATGGCTAAACAATCAGACTTCATGATGCAATCTGTGTAAAACTATGATATAATTATTATGTATACTGACATGTACTTCAAATTTTTTTGTAAATAAGAAGCATCTTTCCCCAGGCATTAAACATTTCTGTGACTCTGTAACAGAAATGGTTGGACAATTGGAATATTTTATTGATTGTATTCCCACCAACAGTACAGAAACTTGTTAACACACATTGGAACTTGAAGAATGGTAAGGGCTTGATATTGGAAAGTTTGAAACCATAATAACTGTCATATGCTATGTTGCTTTAAATTCATTCACAGGATGTGAGTATCTAGCTAGGCTAGCATTTATTGCCCATTCCTAATTTCCCACAGGGCAGTTAAGAGTCAACCACACTTCTGTGGGTCTGGAGTCACATGTAGGCCAGACCAGGTAAGAATGGCAGTTTCTTTCCCTAAAGGTATCCTACCATGGTGGGATTCAAACCCAAGTCTCCAGAACATTAGCTGGGTCTCCGGATTAACAGCCCAGTGATCATACCATTCGGCCATCACCTCCCCTTGTGTTGTACTAAATGTATGAAATCACCACATATTCCACGTGGCCCAAAGCCAAAACCTGTAGTTTAAAAACTGGTCCCAACAGCATGATAATATGTTAAGTAACAACATGCTGAAGCATCTTTACTCCTTTTATTGTTGTCAGCCTTACAAAACCTGGAGCCGAAAAAGAGCCATTTTCTTCCTCTGTAATACGCTGCTTGTGCTCCAAATTCATGTTTGGGGCACTTCTGAAATATGTGGTAATGCAATAAACAATTATTTTCTGCCACATTCTCCTGGCTGTCTGTTTCCTTCAACAAGAAAACAGACACACACCAGCAGCATTTATAAATTGAGGTGAGGTGGATACATAATGGTTGACAGCCTTAACTGTACCACAAATGGAAGCATTGTGGAGAGCAAAGTCATGGGAGCAGCAGCGATGCAATGCAAGTGTTTTCATTATAAGACAGGAGAGGCTGTCACTAGGTCAGTGCCAGCACTAATAGAAGAAACAGTATCGGGGAAATACTCATTCAATGGCAAGGCTATGACATGGGAATACATCAGCCTTGCTATTTTCCACCTGTAAAGACTAAAAATCCTTCAAAATTTTCAGCTCCAATCTCCTACTGTGCAGCTTCCTCCTCTAGATTGACAGGGTGCTGACGTAATGGGGGCTCCTACGCAAAAAAAGCTGACTTGCTGTGCAAAATCTGCTATTAACCTTAATAAGCTTCCCACCACAGTCACACAGGTTGCCATGACTGGGCACAGCCACCTTAGGAAAGGCAGCAGTGGGCAGAAACACATTAGCAATCCACATCAACACAGTCCTTACAAAACTTTCTGGGTTCCTTCTCTTGATCCGAACCCATTTCCAAGAGTAGGAAAATTCTCCCCAGTGTTTTCCACTGCAAAATCAAGTACAGGCAGCAACTGTCTTCTGTGATCTAACGACTCAACAAACAAAAAGGTTTCCTGACCCAAAAAAGTACATACCAAAAACACAGAAGTATAAAAGCATAATATGAGAACAAAAGGATAGCATTGGGCGTGGCAGATGTCACCTGACAGGTGTACAACCTACCGACATTTTAATCTATTTCCTAAAGTATTGTTTATGATATTGTATAAGCACTGATGCAGTGACAAGTTGTACTGGAGTAACACTAATTTGTGTGCCTTGGGATAGCCCTATGATGATGAGCAAATGCCATTTTGAAGGGTCTGATAGTACTTGCAGTGGATTCAAATATTTGTTCCCAGGGAACACTGAAGAGAACATGTTCTGGACTTTAAAGCATGTGATAAGATTTGAGAACCAGGGATCTTAGATCACTCAAGACGGAGCTGTCAGTGCCTGAGACTGTTGCACTAATTTTGATATCACAGAAATGATTTAAGGATGCTGAGCATTTTGAGGTGTTTCAGGATTTGCAGAGGCAGAAAAAGTAGCAGAATGAGGAATGGGCTTTACAGCACTCAGAAAGCTACAGTCCAGCAGGGTTGGAGGTATTCAGGATTTAGCAGGATCGAAGAAGTGAGGGATGACTGTCTTGAGTGTAGAGAAGGTTGACAGATTAAGATCCAAACTGTTGTGGCCTTCTATCAAATCATCAGCCCCACCTTCCCACTGTGTCCTCATACAAAAACCCCTTCCACTGCTGCGCCACCTGGTTTCAAAAAGCAAATAAGGCCTCTGCTCGGTGTGCGGTTAGTTTTACAGACTGTGATGCTCACTCACAGACTGTTGAAATTTATCACAGTCCTAATAAAAACACAATACCCTGAGATTTTACCTAAAAAAGCAGCAGATATTAAATGACCAAAAATAGGAAAAGAACATTAACAGTATCATTGTGATTTTTACTCCAATTTCTCCAAGTTTCTGCTCAGCTCAGCTGCTTTCTAACAACAGAAACATTATATGATATAAATAGGCATGTTATCAAAGACATCTTGTGCAATCACTGATGTCATTGTTTAGAGATCAAATCTGAACATTAACTGATTCCTTATTTTGTGCAAAACACTCAAAGGTAAAGGTGAATTTTTACAGTGTCATCCAAACTTTTAAAAACTTCCGATAGAAAAATATGCCTACAATATTAGATATAATAATCCATGTGTAATATAGCTATTACAAATCTTAAGTCTGCATTCACTTCCTGTCCAAATTCATGTGTTATTATTAAAAGTGTCTGTCTATGTAATTCCAAGGTATAATTACACCTCTTCAGTTTCTTAAGCTTAAATAAGCCAATTATGTCAAAATGAGGATTGAGTTGGCTAAAATAGATTGAGAAAATAGTTTTAAAAGTATTACAGTAGACAAGCCATTAAGCACATTTAAGGCAATAATTCATAACCTTCAATGAATATGCACTCCACAAAGAAATGAGTCCACAAGGAAAGTGAATATATCTGTGGCTAAATAAAGTGGAAAGGAGTAGCATTTCATTGGAGCTTGAAAATGTTTCCCAGTAGAGTAGTTAGCCTAAAGATTGGTAAAAAGTGTTAGAAACCAATAAAGAATGATCCAAAGAAACAAAAATAGTGAGAAGAAACCAGCAAGCAATATAAAAACAGATTGTAAGAACTTTGACAGGTGTGTAAAAAGGAAGAGAGTAGTGAAAGTAATTATATGTCCTTTGGAAGCTGACACAGGAGAATTTATAATGATCATAAGGAAAATACTAAGATAATTTAAACAAATTACTTTCTATTGGTTTTCACAGCATGTTTTAACTCTAGAGTTTGCCTGTTATGTCACAGACTGGAAACGGAATTGTTTAAAATGACTGTTGTTGTAAAATACTTCCTTACCAGGGGAATTTGGGTATCCTTGTATAAAAAACACAAAGTTCAACATTCAGGTCTAGTAAGCAATTAGGAAAACAAATTATATGTTGGCTTTTTTTGGGTTGGAGCACAAAGGACTTTAGTGTGATCTAGTACTCTATACAATGGAAGGATACATATGCCTTGTATGTGGTGGATGAAGGCTCACGAGATTAATTCTTGGGATGAAGGGCTTATTTTATGAAGAAAGATTGAACAGGGTGGCCTATATCAATTGGGGTTTAGAGATTGAAAGATGAATTTATTGAAACATATAAAATCCAAGGAGACTGGATAGGGTGTGTAGCCAGTGGATGTCTCCTCATGTAAGGGACACTAAGATCAAGGGACATAGTTTAAGAAAAAGCAGTTTTCCTTTATAAGACAGAGTTGAGGAGAATTTTATCTCTCAGAGAGTTGTTAGTCTGTGGTATTCTCTTCCCCAGAAAGCAGTGGAGGCTGGGTCATTGCATTTGTTCAAGGTTGAGATAGAGAGAGTTTTAATAGACAAGGGAGTCAAGCATTACTGGAAGGGAGGTGGAAAAGAGGGTGGAGTTGGGAACACAACACAATCACCCATGATTTTAATGAATGGCAGAGGAGGCTCAAAAGATCTATCCTACACTAAGTCTGGAGCTATATGGCATTTCTTTTAAAGGCAGAGCTAATGTAAAATGTAGCTTCTAGGTAAAGAAACAGTCTGGAAAAGGCAAGCATGTAGAAAGCATGTAACATGCCTTCTGTGACCTCAGACAAAGCACTTTATGTAGGTCTGAAGAGTATGGTTTTTGTTGTAATGTTGGGAATGTGCAGCCGATATTCACACAGAGAGACCCAGGAAACAGGAATGTGACAATGACCAGATAATTTGTTTCACGGATATCGAATAAATAAGAATAAATACCTTCCCGGACACCAAATAACTCCTCCACACTTCAACTAAAAATTGAATCTTTTCCAGCCAACTGAGACATCAGACAGCATCTTGGTTCAATGGTTCATTAAAAATTTCCATAAGAATGTCACTGTGAAATCTTAACACTGTTTTGCTTTTTTTTTTAAATTGCTCATTATCTTGCAAATGTTATACCACAATGAAAATGTGCAGTATAGGAATTTTTTTAAAGTTTTCGTCACTGGGTCTAAAGAGGCTATGAGG